GACGGTAACCAAGTTGAAGTGGGTCTAGGGTGACAGGTAAGGTGGAGGTGGTATGATCCTTGACTAGTCTCTCAAGGCACTTCATGATGACAGAAGTGAGTGCTACGCGGTGATAGTCATTTAGTTCAGTTACCTTTGCATTCTTGGGTACAGGAACAATGGTGGCCATCTTGAAGCATGTGGGGACAGCAGACTGGGATAGGGAGAGATTGAATATGTCCGTAAACACACCAGCCAGCTGGTCTCTGATGACGCGGCTAGGAATGCCGTCTGTGCCGGCAGCCTTGCGAGGGTTAACACGTTTAAATGTCTTACTCACATCGGCCACGGAGAAGGAGAGCCCACAGTTCTTGGTAGCTGGCCGCGTCGGTGGCACTGTGTTATCCTCAAAGCGGGCAAAGAACTTGTTTAGCTTGTCTGGCAGCAAGACGTCGGTGTCCGCGACGTGGCTGGTTTTCCTATTGTAGTCAGTGATTGTCTGTAAACCCTGCCACATACGTCTCGTGTCTGAGCTGTTGAATTGCGACTCCACTTTCTCTCGATATTGACATTTTGCCTGTTTGTTGATTGCCTTGTGGAGGGAACGACCACTCTGTTTGTATTCTGCCATATTCCCCGTCACCTTGCCATGGTTAAATGCGGTGGTTCGTGCTTTGTTTTTTGTGAATGCTGCCATCTCTGGTTAGGGTTGGTTTTAATAGTCACAGTGGGTACGACATCTCCTGTACCCACTCTGAATCAGCGTATACGTCTATATTATTCTCAGAGGCTACCAGGAACATATCCCAGTCTGCGTGATCAAAACAATCTTGAAGCGTGGATTCCGATTGGTCAGACCAGCGTTGAATAGTCCTTAGCACAGGTGCTTCCTGTTTGAGTTTCTGCCTATAGGAAGGGAGGAGCAAAATGGAGTCGTGGTCAGATTTGCCGAAAGGAGGTCGGGGGAGGGCCTTGTATGCATAGTGGAAATTAGTGTAGCAGTGATCCAGTGTTTTTCAAGCGCGAGTGCTACAGTCAATATGCTGATAGAATTTAGGTAGCCTTTTTCTCAAATTTGCTTTGTTAAAATCCACACCTACAATAAATGCTGCCTCAGGATATATGGTTTCCTGTTTGCATGAAGTCCAGTGAAGTTCCTTGAGGGCCGTCGTGGTATCGGCTTGAGGGGGGATATACACGGCTGTAAAAATAACCAAAGAGAATTCTCTTGGGAGATAATATGGTTGGCATTTGATTATGAGGTATTCTAGGTCGGGTGAACAAAATGACTTGAGTTCCTGTGAGTCGTTAATCATGAAACAAACCCCCCCACCCTTCTTCTTCGCGGAGAGATGTTTATTCCTGTCGGTGCGATGTACTGAAAACCCAGATGGCTGTATGGACGGGGACAGTATATCCCGAGAGAGACATATTTCCTTGAAACAGAGTATGTTACAATCCCTGATGTCTCTCTGGAAAGCAACCCTTGCCCTGATCTCGTCCACTTTATCTAGGGACTGGACGTTAGCGAGTAATATACTCGGAAGCAATGGGTGGTGTGTGCGCCTCCTAAGTCTGACTAGAAGACCGCACCGGCTGCCTCTCCTCAAACGCCGTTGTTTTTGGTCGGCCTCTGAAATCAGTTCCAATGCCCTGGGTGGTGCGGACGAAGGCTCCGCTTCGGGAATGTCATATTCCTGGTCATAGTGTTATGTTGACGCCACTCTGATATCCAATAGTTCTTCCCGGCTGTATGTAATAACACTTAAGATTTTCTGAGCTAACAATGTACGTTTCCTAAGGACTAGAAGCGAGGAAGCCCTCTCTGGCGGCGCCATTTTCGAAACCGTAGGCTGAACATTACAGAAATGATTTTTTACATAGCAGGGTTGTCCCCAGCACACGGTGCACCCGTGTGATGATCATGCTGTTTAATCAGCTTCTTGATATGTCAGGTGGCTGGATTATCTTGGTAGAGGAGAAATTGCTCACTAACAGGGATGTAAACACATTTGTGCACAACATTTGAGAGAAATAAGCTTTTTGTGCATATTGAAACATTTCTGGGATCTTTTATTTCAGCTTGTGAACATAGGACCAACACTACATGTTGCGTTTAGATTTTTGTTCAGTGTATGAAGAGTGGTACTCAGTGATGTATTGAATTTGCCCCAAACATAATGCTTTGTATTAGTGCCTTATTGCAAACAGGATGTATGTTTTGGAATATTTGTGTTCTGTACAGGCTTCCTTCTTTTCACTCTGTCATTTATGTTAGTATTGTGAAGTAACTACAATGTTGTTGATCCATCCTCAGTTTTCTGCTATCACAGCCATTAAACTCTTTAACTGTTTTAAAGTCACCATTGGTCTCGTGAAATCCCTGAGCAGTTTCCTTCCTCTCCGGCAACTGAGTTAGGAAGGACGCCTGTATCTTTGTAGGGACTGGGTGTATTGATACACCATCCAAAGTGTAATTAATATTGTCACCATGCTCAAAGGTCTTTCTTATTTTCATTTTTTTGGTCTACTAATAGGTGCCCTTCATTGCGAGTGCATTGGAAAACCTCCCTGATCTTTGTGGTTGAATCTGTGTTTGAAATTCACTTCTTGACTGAGGGACCTTACAGATTATTGTATGTCTGGGGTAGAGAGATGAGGTAGTCATTAAAACATCATGTTAAACACAATTATTGAACACAGTCCATGCAATATATTATGTGACTTGTTAAGCACATGTTTACTCCAGAATTTATTTTGGCTTGTCATAACAAAGGGGTTGAATACTTATTTACTCAAGACATTTCAGTTTTTCATTTTTAATTTGTAAAAATTCATAAAAACATTATTCCACTTTGACATTATGGGGTATTTTGTGTAGGCCAGTGACACAAAAAAAATCTATTTAATCTAGTTTAATTTCAGGTTGTAACACAACAAAATGTGGAAAAAGTCAAGGGGTGTGAATACTTTCTGAAGGCACTGTACATATCTATCTCAATTACCTCTTACCCCTGCACATCGACATGGTACTGGTACCCCGTGTATATAGCCAAGTTATCTTTACTCATTGTGTATTTATTCCTTGTTATTATTTTTCACTCTTCATTCTTGGGAAGTGCCCCGTAAGTAAGTAAGCATTTCACTGTTAGTCTACACCCGTTGTTTACGAAGCGTGTGACTAACATTTATTTGATTTGTCCTTGAGGTCAATTAGAAAGTACACTGAAAAAGAGAGCCAGGACAGACAGCTAGCCTGTTAACTGCGCTCTAAGACGTAGCCACGCATGTACACAAATACAGGGCTGGCACAATAATCGTATAGTCTCGTAACCAACAATTATGGACTGTAACCGCAAAGGTAAAGACACAATCCAGCTATTTCTGAACTTTTCCTGTTGAAAAACAATGTCCCACGTGTAAAGACACAATCCAGCTATTTCTGAACTTTTCCTGTTGAAAAACAATGTCCCACGTATAAATACAGTAATCTACACCCACTTAAAGGTGCACTATGCAGAAATCTCTCTGCCATTTCCTGGTTGCTATCATTTTAGTAGTTCGCCTATTTTCAGTTTGCGACATAACAAACAAGTATGGTGTAGAGAAACATTGTAGCATCTAAACCACTGTGAAATATATTTTCCATAACCAAATATATTGTATTGTCAGCTGTTTGAAGCTGGTGTACAAATCTGAAAGTAAAAGGAACTTAAGAACGGGAAACCGAAATAGCGCACACACAGCAGATCTACCACTTCTTAGACTTGCTTTCAGTGAGTGACCGATCTATAACTCACATTTCTATGTGAATTTGGTCGGGTCACTCAAAAAGTTACATATTGCAGCTTTAAGGGTAGATAAATGTTTTGAGCAAAATAGTGTTTTTAGACACAACTGCAAACTTCAAGGAGTAGGCCATTCAAGGAGTAGGCCATTCAAGGAGTAGGCCATTCAAGGAGTAGGCCATTCAAGGAGTAGGCCATTTAAGGAGTTGGTCTGAAGGTGCCCTCTGATGACATGCCCCCCCCCCCCTCCATGCTTACAGGAACAATAGAGAACAAAAGAGGAAAGGAACACCTCCCCACTTGTCCCATGTCATGAGGATACCTGGACCACCTATTGAGATGTGACTCACATCAGTGGTATCTTGGCTTGACAGGCTATTTCTGTCTGTCGCCTCCTGCTTGTGTGAACCATAATTTGACACTGGGTACTGTATGTTCAACCCAAGGGTTCTTGTTGGCTTCCCCGGCGGCCAGCTTTGCCCTCTCTGCTTAGTCTGGCTATTTGCAAGGAGGATGAGCCGCCTTTACTTTGAATGTTGCGGCTGAAATAGTGTGTTTATTTAACACAACTTGTCCTTAGAGAACAAAACGTACCACAACAAGAAACCAAGAAGACAATTACTTAAGTAGCTAGCCTTTAACCTAGCTCCGAGGTCACTTCTCCTGCCCTTTCTTGAGTGGCACGGTCGGTAGCCAATGGCAGAGCAATGCAAGAACCAACAACTTGTGGTCTAACTGTTACCATGACAGGTTCTGCCATGCTAACTACACCCCTTTCCAGGAGAACCCAGCCCCCTCCAGGTTGATGGAAATGGGAAGTGATTTATCCAGGGTACCTGTAGCTCCCTAATCAGTGCTAATCTGATCCACCCAGGATTAGATCTGGCTAAGACATGTAAGATACTGCATTTTTATCCTGTGAGAGTGAACAGTTACTGAGGAACAGGAGGAGGAGATGGTGCACTGTTCCTCTGTCATCTTTATTGGACTTCACTTACTTTTGCCAGTTTGAGGGGGCAGGATCGTCCGAGGACCCCAATCACCTCTTGTGCTGAGTGGGTAGTTTTCTGTGGGATCTCTCCTCCTCCACCTCAACCAGTAGGATCTGGTTTAGTTCTTGCTGTCCTCGTTAAAACTCCATAGTTCCTTCGGCGCGATTACGATCTGCTGTCCTCCCGATCTGGGTTTTATTCAACTTTTTTAATTCTATTTTGGTGGGATACTTAAGCCGAGATGCTGAACCAGAGCGCGGTGATGACCCTCACCGGGATCTGTGGGGCGTTGGTGGTCCTTGCCATGGGCTACTACGTCTACTGGTAAGTAATACTGTGAAGGAGGGGTTGGACCGGCAACTAACCAGGGCCATTCAGATGTTAGATATCTGGGCCAGTTCTGCCACTTCGGTGGGTGCCTGGCTCTTTGATTGGTGAGCTTCAAGAGAAGTCCGCTCATAACCCATCTTTGACCCCCCCCCCCCCCCCCCCCCCGGGGCCTCATTGGTATGGTCTACCTGTTTGGCAATTTACGACCCAAGCAGTTGTATCATATGGACTTTGAGAATGTTGTCCAGTGTTTACCAGCTGTGGACTAATTGTTCCTCACATCCTAATGTTGACCTTTCCTGGTCTTATAAAATCAGTTTTGCTGCGAACGTGGATGGAATCCAGACATTAAAACAGAATTTAGTAGGAAGTCAACTAAATGTATTAGAAAATTCATACGTTTTCCCAAGATTATCATAAGACATGAACATAATGCGTCAGTGATCCGTATTTTCCTTCAACTTTCTGAAGAGGAATGCCCCTGTCTGTGTGTGCTTTTGTCTACCACTTTGTGTAGCAGTTAGCGATAAGGCTAATGTCATGAAAACATTTACATTTACATTTACGTCATTTAGCAGTCTTCTGGTAGATGGAAATGCTTTCACAAAAGCCTATGCCTACCCGGCAGAATGATATCATGATTATTTGCATAAATCCAGTGGCCATTTGTTTTGTGAACTCTGCAATCACATGAGCGCTACAGAAACATTGCTAACCAAACCATCCAATCTCTGGCTGGTACACAGTTGAATTAAAGGGTAACTACACCCAAAAATCTCAATTTCTTAGATTGGTCAAAATTTGATTTAAGCATTGTTGTGGGCATAGGAACATACAATTTAGTTGTTTTTCAAGGAGTGTTTTGTTTTTTTGTAGAGCGAAAACCTGAAACTGGGAGAGAAAACGGAAGGAAAAAAAACAAACAAGATGGAGAAAACGTAATGCGGGAAAAACTAAAACCGATTTAAATATCTAGCTTTCGTAGACTAGATGGCTCCTATGGTCATACACCGCCATAACCCCCAGTGAACCTGCAGCCAGGTGATCAAGGACAGGCAGCAGTTATTCTCCTACGCAGCTTTAACCCAGTGTCTGTAATCCTTTCCCAGGCATGCGTGAGGTCACAGGTGGGCCTTGCCTTCCTTCTCAGGCTCCTGGGGCTGGGATGGAGCTCTGCTCATGCTGGCGGTTTACTTGAGTTGGATCCCACTGGTATTGCTTCCCATAGAGATGGCCTACTATGTGATGCTTTGAGGGCTGTAGTCCTGAGACCGTGATCACCAACCCTGGTCCTGGAGATGATCCTGTAACAAGGTGTGTTACAATGTGCCCTTTCAGCCCTGGTTGACTTGAAAGACAGACTGATGGAGAGAGTGAGAGAGCTAGAGGTAAAGAGAGAACCTGGAAGCTTAAGATGCAGAAAGATCATGTATAATACCCATAACCCAATGTGCTACATCTGGGTCTGTTACCATGGCAACTCTGTGACCATATGGTCCTCGTGAGGATGTCAAGGGGGGCGTATTCTTTCAGGTGATCCAATTGTTCATGATTTTTATTTATTTTTCTGCTACTGTAAGTGCACAAATGCACACCGAAAGCATTTCCTTTCAATATTTATTGCAGTGAGCTGGAAAATACATTGATCCAGTGGTCACACATGAAGAGTGTGTGTGAGCGAGATCTTTACTTTCTCTTGCCTCAAAGCCCACAGCCTTGTCCTTTTGATGTCAGTTGGAAGCTTTGACTACAAGGGTACACAGGCAGCTCTCATTCTGATCCTCTGGTTAATGCCCTAAATGTAGGTGATTATTACTGAATTGGAATGCCTTCCTATTTTTCACCAGGTGGGACGTGGGGAGATTCCCCCCAATGGTGTCTATCCCAAAGTGGCTTCTCTTGCCTCTGTGTCTAGTCTGAGATGTTCAATAGGTGGGGGCAATATTCCAGTGCAGTTTTGCAATTTTACTAGGATTTTACTTGTTTGGCAACCTGGTCTTGTTTCTACTCCCAACCTCGCGCTTTCCCCCTGGTTTGACTGACAGTTTCTCACAGATGCCCAATATGAAATCCAACCCCTTAGACCTAGACCTGCCTGAGCCATCTGGACCTTAGATTCCAATTTGGAACACACACACAGTCCTAATGTTTGGACACCACTGGGCTACACTCTTCCTGTAGGCCTGGATCTGAGATGATTGGGTAGTCCTAACCAATATGCCATTAACATGATGATGATTATTTTGTGTTTGTATTATTTTTCATTTCTATAGAGTTCTTCACAGAATCGCAAAGCGCCTCGAGCAAAAAAAACAAAACAAGCAATACATCATGACAGGTCAACCAATAGAGGTGAAGTCTTTGAAAGCTGCATCCTCCGAAGGTGGAGAGGGTCAGTTCATGGCTTGAGCAAATGATGGCACTACAGTGCCTTTAGAAAGTATTCACACCCCTTGACTTTTTCCACATTTTGTTGTTACAGCCTGTATTTAAAATTGATTAAATAGAGATTTTTGGGGGGGGTCAGTGGCCTACACACAATACCTGATTTTTAAAGTCAAAGTGGAATTATGTTTTTCTATTCATTTTAACGTATTAAAAATATAACGCTGAAATGTCGTGAGTAAATAAGTATTCAAACCCTTTGTTATGGCATTCCTAAATAAGTTCAGGAGTAAAAAAAAATCTTAAGTCACACATTGCATGGACTCACTCTGTGTGCAATAATAGTGTTTAACATGATTTTTGAATGACTAACTCATATATGTACCCCACACATACAATTACCTGTAAGGTCCATCAGTCGAGCAGTGAATTTCAACCACAAAGACCAGGGAGATTTTCCAATGCCTCGCTAAGAAGGGCACCTATTGGTAGATTGGTAAAAAATAAAATAAACAGACATTGAATATCCCTTTGAGCATGGTGAAGTTATTAATTACACTTTGGATGGTGTATCAATACACCAAGCCACTACAAAGATACAGGCGTCCTTCCTAACTCAGTTGCCGGAGAGGAAGGAAACCGCTCAGGGATTTCACCATGAGGGCAATGGTGACTTTAAAACAGTTACAGAGTTTAATGGCTGGGATAGGAGGAAACTGAGGATGGATCAACAACATTGTAGTTACTCAACTATAGTAACCTAATTGACAAAGTGAAAAGAAGGAAGCCTGTACAGAATAAAAATATTCCAAAACATGCATCCTTTTTGCAATAAGGCACTAAAGACTCACAGCTGTAATCGCTGCCAAAGGTGATTCTAACATGTGTTGACTCATGGGGTTGAATACTTCTCTAATCAAGATATATTCGTGTTTTTCATACATTTTTAAATAATATTTTTTTTTACTTTTTTTTTTTTACAAATGTTATAATTTTGTGTAGATAATTGACGAAAAATTACAATTAAATCAATTTTAATCCCACTTTGTAACACAATAGAATGTGGAAAAAGTCAAGGGGTGTGAATGCTTTCTGATGGCACTGTATCTATACCAGTACCAAGATTCCTCCTAGTGCAAACGACAAGCTGGCTACTGATGTGAATGTAATTAATTAATTAATTATGGAGAATTTGAAGTATTTAGGAATACTATCACTGAAGTAGCCAATCCACTAAGGCTAGTGAGTGACTAGTCCACATACTCCAATGTGAGCTGTTCACTAAGGAGTATTTGAACTAGGCATTTGAATTTTAAACCCCTATTTACTGTTGGGTTATCTAAACTGCCATGGTTTAAATAACGAGCAGATACTTCTGGAAAGAGCAGACATACTACTAGTATGACATACATTCTACTGTGAATTCCACTGTGCATTCTACTGTGTCTAGGCCTATCCCTGTGATCTAAGCTAAGCCATTTGTGAGGGTAACACTTAAGTCCCCTCCAGACCTTTGTAAGCCAGAAGAGAATGAGCCCTGGTTGTTTGAACTTGTTTACAGGCCACAGCCTAGGTTGAAATACCACCATGACCTGCTGTGTGACAAATATCAACATGGAGCTGATGTTCAATACACCTGCGACCTTCTCAGAGCTGTGAGACACTTATTTGCACTGAGGACGTAACAGTGTTTGTGATCTAGAGACTCTGGGGTCGTTCCATGTCGTTTCAGCTAGCCATGACACACCCACCATCTCAGTTAGTTCGGAAATAATTTCTGTAGTTAGAAGTCTGATTGGCTGAAGCCAGGAGATGATGATGATGATGATATCGTCTCTCAGGGAAGGGGAGCGAGACTACGCAGCGCCAGCCAGGTCCTATATTTATTGGATATTATATGAATCTTATAAATTATAATGGCCAATTTGGGTGCAATCAGTTAGCTTAATTTTTATTTTACCTTTATTTAACTAGGCAAGTCAGTTAAGAACACATTCTTATTTACGATGACGGCCTACACCGGCCAAACCCGGACGATGCTGGGCCAATTGTGCGCCGCCCTATGGGACTCCCAATCACGGCCGGTTGTGATACAGCCTGGAATCCAACCAGGGGGTCTGTAGTGACGCCTCAAGCACTGAGATGCAGTGCCTTAGACCACTGCGCCACTCTGAGATCAAATTATATTTTAACAAAATAATGTTGGAGGAATGCTCATATTTTTTGTTTCTAACAGAAACTATTTCAGAGCGATCTGAGATGGTGGGTGTCGAAGTCCTCTTTCTTGTGCGTTATGAGGTGGAATGACCCTCTGCTATTTCTGCCACCCTGTCAAATGATTTTACACACACACAGACATATCGTCACACAATCTCTGTCTCTCTTCCTCCCCCTCTGGCTAGCTGGTGTTTGGTCCCGAACAATGGAGACATGGTTGTCCTGTCCTGTGAGGGAACAAAACACTGATACTCACTGAAACACACCCTTACAGCACATTCTCTCCCCTATGAGATGAGAGCACGCAGG